TGTTTAGCTTCAAGACAAGACATGATTTTTCCTATTTAAAGAAAAACAAAAAATATATTATCAATTTACATAACAATAACTTACAGTGGGGAGTGATTTGCCATCAAAATAAATTTTACCCAAACCATGAAATTAAATGATAATGAACTCAATCTGAACTGTTTACGGCGACCACCAACGAATAGCAATATAAGGAGGATCAGATGAAATCCATCCATACGAAAAAACCGAGAACCATTGCAAACCAAATTTGTAAAATAATATGCCCGCGCGTAGAGTGGACTCTCTCCTAGTTTTATTGTTAATGCGATACCCATTGAAAGAGATACTCTTAAATACTCACATCTGTATTTTTTTTGTCCGCCAATTATTATTTTCGAGCATTGATCTTGTGCTTAAATTGGAGCCTCACAGTCACATTTGCCACCAAGGCGGCTACTGACTTTGTGTAAACTTAACGCGACAAAAAGAGGAAGAAACATATTGTCACACACTCACCAACATATCCGAATAGTTTTGTGGGTGACGAAATTTCAAACAATTGAAGAAATATTAGAACAAGAAAGAAAAAAAATTAACCAAAAATGTACAACATAAAACCATACCATATGTATAAGGGATAAGAATGATTAAGATAAGAAACAATTTTAGAAAATAAACTAAAAGAACCAAAAGTTTGAAACAAAATACTCCAATAAAATTTAATATACAAAAACTTTGAATTACTAGATAGTTGCGTGGTTGTAAAAGTTCTTTGTGTTTAGCTTCAAGACAAGACATGATTTTTCCTATTTAAAGAAAAACAAAAAATATATTATCAATTTACATAACAATAACTTACAGTGGGGAGTGATTTGCCATCAAAATAAATTTTACCCAAACCATGAAATTAAATGATAATGAACTCAATCTGAACTGTTTACGGCGACCACCAACGAATAGCAATATAAGGAGGATCAGATGAAATCCATCCATACAAAAAAACCGAGAACCATTGAAAACCAAATTTGTAAAATAATATGCCCGCGCGTAGAGCGTTCTCTCTCCTAGTTTTATTGTTAATGCGATACCCATTGAAAGAGATACTCTTAAATACTCACATCTGTATTTTTTTTGTCCGCCAATTATTATTTTCGAGCATTGATCTTGTGCTTAAATTGGAGCCTCACAGTCACATTTGCCACCAAGGCGGCTACTGACTTTGTGTAAACTTAACGCGACAAAAAGAGGAAGAAACATATTGTCACACACTCACCAACATATCCGAATAGTTTTGTGGGTGACGAAATTTCAAACAATTGAAGAAATATTAGAACAAGAAAGAAAAAAAATTAACCAAAAAATGTACAACATAAAACCATACCATATGTATAAGGGATAAGAATGATTAAGATAAGAAACAATTTTAGAAAATAAACTAAAAGAACCAAAAGTTTGAAACAAAATACTCCAATAAAATTTAATATACAAAAACTTTGGATTACTAGATAGTTGCGTGGTTGTAAAAGTTCTTTGTGTTTAGCTTCAAGACAAGACATGATTTTTCCTATTTAAAGAAAAACAAAAAATATATTATCAATTTACATAACAATAACTTACAGTGGGGAGTGATTTGCCATCAAAATAAATTTTACCCAAACCATGAAATTAAATGATAATGAACTCAATCTGAACTGTTTACGGCGACCACCAACGAATAGCAATCTAAGGAGGATCACATGAAATCCATCCATACGAAAAAACCGAGAACCATTGAAAACCAAATTTGTAAAATAATATGCCCGCGCGTAGAGTGGACTCTCTCCTAGTTTTATTGTTAATGCGATACCCATTGAAAGAGATACTCTTAAATACTCACATCTGTATTTTTTTTGTCCGCCAATTATTATTTTCGAGCATTGATCTTGTGCTTAAATTGGAGCCTCACAGTCACATTTGCCACCAAGGCGGCTACTGACTTTGTGTAAACTTAACGCGACAAAAAGAGGAAGAAACATATTGTCACACACTCACCAACATATCCGAATAGTTTTGTGGGTGACGAAATTTCAAACAATTGAAGAAATATTAGAACAAGAAAGAAAAAAAATTAACCAAAAAATGTACAACATAAAACCATACCATATGTATAAGGGATAAGAATGATTAAGATAAGAAACAATTTTAGAAAATAAACTAAAAGAACCAAAAGTTTGAAACAAAATACTCCAATAAAATTTAATATACAAAAACTTTGGATTACTAGATAGTTGCGTGGTTGTAAAAGTTCTTTGTGTTTAGCTTCAAGACAAGACATGATTTTTCCTATTCAAAGAAAAACAAAAAAATATATTATCAATTTACATAACAATAACTTACAGTGGAGAGTGATTTGCCATCAAAATAAATTTTACCCAAACCATGAAATTAAATGATAATGAACTCAATCTGAACTGTTTACGGCGACGACCAACGAATAGCAATCTAAGGAGGATCACATGAAATCCATCCATACGAAAAAACCGAGAACCATTGAAAACCAAATTTGTAAAATAATATGCCCGCGCGTAGAGCGTTCTCTCTCCTAGTTTTATTGTTAATGCGATACCCATTGAAAGAGATACTCTTAAATACTCACATCTGTATTTTTTTTGTCCGCCAATTATTATTTTCGAGCATAGATCTTGTGCTTAAATTGGAGCCTCACAGTCACATTTGCCACCAAGGCGGCTACTGACTTTGTGTAAACTTAACGCGACAAAAAGAGGAAGAAACATATTGTCACACACTCACCAACATATCCGAATATTTTTGTTTATATTATTATTAAATATTTTTATTTTGCATAATTTAAATAATTTTAATTTTTGTTGTACTTTTATTTTTTTTAGTTATAAGTTGGGTACCAAGAACCAACGAGAACTCGGTGGAACTGAACCAATCTGAAAATGAAAAATACACGAGTGGTTTATAAATTTCTAGACTAGAAAGACCCGGAACCGACCTGAACCCGATCTGAAAAATTAAATGACCAGGCTTTGAGCTAAATAACTTGAAAAAAAAATATATTACTAATAAAAGTTGACCCTATAGGCATTATAACTTTAGTAGGTGTCTACCTTGTTTGAAAAAACTTAATTTGATTGGCCCACATGCTTACATTCACATGTTCAAGAATTTTAAATATATAAAAGATAAGGAAGTTAAACATATATAATCTTAAGCAATCAATAGTATCATTCCACATCATCACTAATTTGTTTTTTCATAACAGTTTATTAATTAAATATTTTAGAAAGTTAAGAAATTATATTTTCTAATTACAACAAAAAGAAGACTGTGTTATAGTTAATTGCCTATATTAAGATTTAAACAACTAATATGATTAGTATAAGCTTATCTAACACTATGAATTTTTCCAAATTTTCAAAAAATTGTAATGTGATAGAGATATGTAAGAGATAAAGAAAACATGTATAAGTTTTTATTAATACCAAAAATCTACTTATCATTTAACTAGGAAATTTTCTTAATTTAAAATAAAGGTTTCCATTCTATAAATACTCACTTAAAATTTATAAAAAATATAACAATAAAATAATTTTGTATAGCATATATAAAATTAAAAAAGCTTACTAAAACTATTTAAAACTTAATGGATTTATTTAGAATTTGAAGAGTGGATAATAACCCAAATAAGAGGAAAAAGAAGTTAAAAAAAAAACAAGGCGAAAAGAAAGAAAAATAAGAGTACGTGAAGAAATCGAAGAGATAATATATATAAAAAAAATAAAGATGAAAAAGAAAAAACAGGACAAGAATCTTGCGAAGACAAGAACAAAAGACCCAAAACCGAACACAAACACAAATGAGGAATAAAGAAGAGGAAAGACGAAGATGAGTGAAGATAAATAAGAAACCAAATAGGAACAAAGAAGAAATTAAAGCAGGAGAAATTGAAGAAGAATAAACAAAAGCGGATTTATGTAGAATTTAAAGAGTGCAGAATAATCATGTGACATATGTAGCCCTTTTTCTGGAGTTTTAAAGGTTGCGTCGGGCGACACAAAATGTGCGTCGGTTGATGCAACAGTTGAAAAATTGACCTGATTTGTTTTAAGTGGTCCGGTTTAGCTGGTTTAAGGGCTGAAAGCCCTAGTTTGCGAATTAAAAAGGGAGCAGCTGTGTCTTTTGTCATTTTTTTGGACGTGAACAGTAGCAGAGGAGAGAAAGGAGGTGATTTCGTGGTGTTCTTGCCTGAATCAGAGGTCGTTTGTAGCTTTTCTTCGTTGCTTCATCTCTATTTCCTTTTTCAATCACGTTTAGAGGTGAGTGCGTGAATATAGGCTCGTGAATCATTAGAAATTGATTGTTTGGTTGAGTTTATGATGAGTTCTTGTTGGGTTCATGTTTGATTTGAGTTTATGATCGATTTCAGGTGTTGAATCCCCTTAATACGCTGTTTCTGTGCGATTGCATGACTTAAATTTTCTGTCTGCGTCGACCGACGCAAGTGTAAATTATCTGTTTTGCCCTTTTGGTTGCTGTTTATTGTTGTGTGTTTGTTGTGTCTCACGTAATTGTTTTGTAGGTGGGATGATCCACTCACTAAGTATTTATGATAATACTTATGCAACTCTTTCGTAATGTGTTGCAAGTAAAATGATTACGTGATCGCAGAATCAAGGCCGAAGAAGGGGATGATAGGACTATTTGTCTTGCTTTGTTTAAGTTGTTAGAATTATTTATTTAATTGTTTTTGCTTCCGCTGAATATTGTTGAACTGATTTATTATTTATTTTATGGACTTGAGAATTTCGCTGAGTTGATTTAATAATAAAAAAATGCTTGGTTGTTTCATTTTGGTATCAGAGCCTAAACTGTTTTAGGACTATTAGAATTGCTAGGCTTTAGTATCATCCTCTTTGGGCTTCAGGAGATTCCACGGTAAGTTTTGTGTTTGTGTTGTGCTTCTGTTTTCTAGTTGCGCTCTCTTGTTCTTTGGGAGTGCAGTGAGATGGATGCAGGTGTTAGGGGATGTGGTGCGAGAGGTCGCGGTAGAGTTGGTACAGTTGCCCGTAGTGGCAGAGCAGGAGGCCAGCAGACTGAGGTCGGGATCGTGGACTTTCGGCGGATTCGGGAGAGAGTGCAGCGCCGAGTGTGGCGACTGCGTCGGTGACCCATGCAGATTCTTTGGCGGGTGAGGCCAGTGTGGGCGCTAGTGAGAGCGTGGGAGCGGGGGCGGCTCCAAGTGCGGTTGTTGTCCCAGCTCAAGGTCGTGATGACTTGGCGGTTGGGTTATTGACGCAGCTGTTGGTTACACAGGCTCCAGTGGCAAAGAGCAGCAGAAGTTGAGCAGCCAAGGGCTGCGGTTGTGGGTGTTCTGCTCTATCTAGAGATGATAGGGCAGATACAGAGGATAGCTACACCGCTCTTTGAGGGTGGAGTATGGCCGGAGGAGGCCGGTGAGTGGCAATTGAGACTGCAGAAGAATTTCCGGTCTATCAGATGTACGGTTGAGTACTAGGTGGAGTTATATGTCCACTATATGAGTGATGACGCACATTTGTTGTGTTTGTAGTTTGTTCATTTTGCGTGTGATAGAAATGTGGAGGTTACCAACGCATGTGTTGTGTAAGGACGGTTTTGAGTCCTACGTGTTGTTTGACTCTGAAGAATCGAATTACTTCATTACTACGGAGCGGGCCGAGAGTAGCTGCATCCAGAGCAGCGCTGGTGAGCGTTTGGGTATGGTCAAGGTGGCTGGAGGTGGATTCCGGACTACTTCAGGCCGTGTTATAGGAGTGGATATTCAGATTGCGGGGTAGTCGATGCTAGCAGATTTGGTCATTAGTCCGGTGGAGCAGTATGACGTTATTCTCGGGATGGACAAGCTGTTGTACTACATAATTCATCTGAATTGCTACAAAGGCATAGTGGTCTTTGAGCGAGATGCAAAGAGGTTGGTTTATCACGGAGTGAGACCGGCTCCCGGGAGTATTGTGATATCTGCTATTCAGGCTGAGCAAATGATAGAGCGGAACTGTGAGGCGTATTTGGCGACAATTTCTATGTGGGAGTCAGGAGCTGGGGTTACTATGAGTGATATTCGGGTTATCTAGGAGTTTTAGGATTTAATTTAGTCACTGAAGGGATTACCACCATCTCGGTTTGATCCTTTCCCGATTGAGCTAGAGTTGGGGACATCACCAATATCTAAGACCCTTACAGGATGGCGCCAGCAGAGTTGGCAGACCTGAAGAAACAGATAGAGGACCTTTTGTCTAAGGGGTTCATTCGGCCGAGTGTTTCGCCGTGGGAAGTGTCAGTGTTGTTTGTGAAGAAGAAGGATGAGAGTCACTGTTGAAGAACATGTACCCTGTCCCGTGAATTGATGAGTTATTGGATCAGCTGAGGGGTGCTACTTGGTTCTCCAAGATGGAGTTGGTGTCGGTGTCGGATTATCATCAAATCCCGATAGATGAGGCAGATGTCAGGAAGACTACGCTTAGGACGCGTAATGGGCATTTTGAGTTTGCGGTGATGCCGTTTGGGTTGACAAATGCACCGGCAGCCTTCATGAGATTGATGAGCGACATGTTCAGAGAGTATTTGGACGTGTTCGTCATCATTTTCATCGATGATATCTTGGTGTATTCGAGGAGTCTTGAGGAGCATGTGACTCACATGAGGTTGGTTTTGGAGAAGCTTCGGGAGCAAAAGCTTTTTGCTAAGTTGAGAAAGTACAGTTTCTGGCAGCGAAAGATGAGATTTCTTGGCCACATTGTTTATGCACAAGGAGTTTATGTGGATCCGGCTAAGATTGAGGTTATTAGGGATTGGCCTAAACCTAGTGTGCCCCAAAGATCAGGAGTTTTCTGGGTTTGGCAGGCTACTACAGCAGATTCGTTAAGAGGTTTGCTACTATAGTGCAGCCTATGACGAAGTTGACTGGGAAGAATGTCTCATTTGTGTGGTCACATGAGTGTGAGGAGAGCTTTAGGCAGCTCAAGAAGATATTGACTACTACACCGATTTTGGCGTTACCCGAGCCAGGGAAGCCTTATACAGTATATACAGATGCTTCAGGCATTGGTTTGGGCTGTGTGTTGATGCATGAGGGTAGAGTTATTGCATATGCTTCAAGACACTGACAGGGCAACCAACATTTTTTTTTTTTTAAATATTAAACAATTCTAGCGAAAGTCTTTAAAATAAATTAAATAAATAAATCAATCAATAACAATGTTCAGCGGAAGCAAATAACAAATTTAAATAAATACTTCTAACAACTTAAACAAGTTCAACAAAGCAATGCATAATAATAAACCCTATCATCCCCCTCTTCAGCCTGGATTCCGCGATCACATAAACCTTTTACCTGCAATACATTGGAATGAAGTTGCATAAGTATTTACTATTAGTGAAGCAATCATCCTGCCTACAGGCCATTTACGCAATTTACTAGCAATTAAAATAATTATTCAAAAATTATTAATATATTATTTCTCCAATATTAAATAATTCTCAATGATTAAAAATTCATTTATCAGTTATTAAATAATTCTCATAATTAAATAATAATTTTTCATATTTTAAAATAATTTAAATTATTATTTCAAGCCACTTAATTAATTAAAATATTTAATTAATTAAATCCGAATTTAAACATATTAACCAGATTTAAACCAGATATTACTTAAATTAAACCATAAATCAATTTTGAATTGAACCAAACTAAACCGGCTGCGTCGCCCGACGCAGACCACTTTCCGTCGACTGACGCAAGGTTTGCATCGCCCGACGCACGTCCGTCAGGACGACAAAGATATCAACAAATCACGCAGAAACACAAAATTAAACCTCATATCATAAGAACACCTCAAGAACAACATTCAATCAATCTATATCTAGTGATTTGCGGACCTACTGAAACAACCAACATTTTTTTTTTATAATAAATAAATACTAATCAATTCTAGCGAAGGTCTTTAAATAAATTAAATAAATAAATATCAATAACAAATAAATCAGTTCAGCGGAAGCAAATAATAATTAAACAAGTCTAGCAAAACAATGCAAATAAATAAAACAATAAACATCCTATCATCCCCCTCTTCAGCCTTGATTCCGCGATCACACAAATCTTTTACCTGCAACACATTGGAATGGAGTTGCGTAAGTATTTAATAAATACTTAGTGAGGCAATCACTCTGCCTACAGGCCATTTACGCAATTTACTAGATATTTAATAATATTTATAAACTCCAATAATTATTAAATACCATTTTCCAATTATTAAATAATTATTAATAATTAAAACTTCATTTCTCAATTATTAAATAATTCTCATAATTAAATAATAATTTTCCATATTTTAAAATAATTAAATAATTATTTTAAGCCATTTAATTAATTAATTAATTAAATACGAATTAACCAAATAACCAGATAACCAGATTTAACCAATTAAATTAAATCAATTTAAACCAATTTTAATTTCAATTGAACCGGACTGAACCGGTCAGTGTCGAGCGACACCGCTTGTGTCGTCGACACCAAACTTGTGTCGACCGACACTAGTTCCAGAGGTCGATTCTTCCTTCAACAAAACAGCACGAAAATCACATAAAACACCAAATCCACACGAATTACACCCAAACAACACTAGATAACACATAATCAACATGAACAACTCAAGAACAATTAACCAATCAAACCAAATCTAGCAATTGCGGACCTACAGTCATGCACTCACCTCAAATCGGATTGAAAAGAGAAAGGAGATGAAACAACGAAGAACAGCAACAAGGAGCCTCAGATTCGACGAAGAACTCCGGACAAATGCCGAAATCGCCCTCTTCTCCTTCTCCAGTCCGCAAAACGACAAAAGGAGGAAGAAGACGGCTGGCTTTTATTTCGAGTTCTAGGGCTTCCTGGGCCCAAACCCTAAACCGAACTTAAATTGAACCAGAAATTGATTTTAACCATTGGTGTCGACCGACACCAAAGAAAAATCTCAATTCTTTGGTCTACGGATGTTACACCTACAGTCATGAACTCACCTTGAATTGGATTGAAAACGGAAGAGGAAGAGAAAACAGTGAAGAACAACAACAAATCCGCCTCAGATTTTTCCAAGAACACTACAAATCTCTCAAAAATCGCCCAGATCTTCTCAAGAACTTCTCCTTTTCGCAAAACGACAAAAGTGAGGAAGAAAAACGGCTGCTCCTTCTTTAAACTCGAAATCAGGGTTTCCAGGCCCTAAACCAGCCCAAACCAGACTTAAATTGAACCGGGTCTTATTTTGCAATTGTTGCGTCGACTGACGCACACCTTGCGTCGCCCGACGCAACCTCCAAAACTCCAGAAAAAGGACTACTGGTGTTACAGTCTACGCCTGAGGTCTACCTACAAAAAAGTTAGTTTCACAATTGACAAAAATATGACTTTCCTAAAAAATTAGAGATTTTGACGTTGAGGTCTATCATTGAGGTCTACGGTGCATGTAGACCTTAGGTGAGGTCTACTCAAATATCTAGTCAACGCAAAAAAAAATTGAGGTCTACCATCGAAATCTACAAGAGAAAATGTCAAACTTGGGTCAACTGCAAAACTAACAATTTTGAGGTATACTTTTTGGGGTAGACTTACACCATAGACCTCGTTATGCTCCGTAGACCGCTTCAAAGGTCTATTAATCAAAACGAGGTCTACCGCAGAAAAAGTCAAAATTTGATCAATTGTAAAACTAACCTCCTCGTGTAGTAGACCTCTAATGTAAACCTTGCAACAAATGTTTGGATTCGGTCAATAGCAAAACTAACCTCCACGTGTAGTAGACCTCCGTAGAGATCTACGTTGTAGGCTTTGTCTCGTTCTACTAAGTAGGTCTACCTACAATATAACCTCTATAAAATAATACTCGATAAAATAATAAACACTATAAGATAATAAATTTCTCCGGTCCCAACTCGGGCCAATGTAAAAAATAGCAAAATGGAATAAGATGATAAGATAATACTATTAGGTATATTGTTATATGTTTTTTTTATGTCGTTTTCGGATCAATATATAAAGCATTTTGAAAATTTTCTTGAATAGTTGGTTGTTTTTACTTGTTTACTTACTTATATATGAGTTTTAAATGTTCATTTGATGTAATTAAGGCTCTATTCGATTTTCCTTTCTATTAGCTAATTATCTTAATTTCTAGGTAGACCGATGTTGAGGTCTACACGTTTGGTATATGCGTTCTGTCTATTTATCCGCCAAGCTTTGCTGATGTGGTTTGTATATGTTTTGTAGACAATGGATGAAAAAATACATGTCATGCCAAAAAAAATAGAAACTTTTGTTTAAAGCTATTACTCATGGTGAACTTAGTAAAATAGCAAAAAATGACTACCATGGTGGTTCATGTTTTGGCAGTGGTTCTAATAGTCAAGGTTTATGTAATTTTTCTTCAAGTTGTGATGGGAGTGAAAGATTTGTTTTAAAACGAACCTAAATTTACCTCTCTTTTGTAAGAAGATTATCCTATCTTCTAGTTACCTTTTGTAATTTTTGTGACATCTATATATATATATATATATATAAAGTTGGTGTGATTCTCTTGTGCTGGTGACACCTCAGCAAAAGAGACCCCTTCTAAATTCAGCATTTTTCCACATCAGCCATCTCTACTCTCCATTTGATTTATTTTATTTGCTTTTATTATACTTTAATTATTATAATAATTACCATGTCATAACTTTAACAAGAATTTGAAAAAAAATTATAAAACAAGAATCATATCAACTGATCTACATAAATAAAAATTTAACGATTTTAGTTTTGTTAAAATTAACTATATAATTTAAACGATATGAGATGGAACCCGAAGAAACATGATGGAAAATAATCGTGATAGAAAGGAATGGGAAGGGACATGAAGGAATGGTAGCAACAGAGAAGGACATGAAGGAATGGTAGCAACAGAGAGGGACATGAAGTAATACGACGAAACGAGAAAGAACGAGACGGAACGGAACAGGAAGGAGAAAGAACTAGACGGAAGGGAAAATATCGAAATGGGATGAAACCGGACATGACGGGAAGGAACGGGACAAAACAGAATGGGATGGAAAGGAATGAGACAAGAAAAGAACATGATAAGACAGAACAAGACATGATAAGAAGGAAAGGTTGGACGGGACGGGATAAAAACGAAATGAGACGGGATTGGACGGGATAAGATGGAAAGGGACATAATGGGATGAGACAGTAATTTTGCCTACCCCTAATTATATTCAGAGACGGTACAGATATGACAAAATGGAAAGGAACATAATAGGATAAGATGAGACTAGATGGGGCGGACATGACGAACGTGACGGAAAAGAACGGGATATGATTAAAAGGAACAAAATGGGATGGGATAGGGTTAGACGGAAATTTGCCTAACCGTAATTATATTTAATTAATTAATATGTGTATAATATTTTTGAAACAATAATAAACTATAGAAATAAATTCAATTTTCGGAAAAAAAAATAAAACTAACACAACAATATAAATTCCGCGCGAAGCGCGGTCACCCCCTAGTTGTCATTAAAGATAATGAAGTGATCTCTTTGATGAAACCAAACATGTATTGGTGATAAGTGCAAATGCCAAACGAGACCATGATTTCATAATAACGAAAATCTTTTAATTTGAGAAGCAACAAAGTCTTACAATGAAAACTGTAACTAAAAGCTCAAATCCGACAAGAAACAAAGTGTTTAAGCTGAAAGTTAAAGCTCAGCTCAAATCGATAAGCAACAAGTGTTTAAAACTGATAAAAGCTCTGTTTTGTTCTTCATCTTTGCTCGGTGTAGACTCATCAAGCATATCCCACAACTACTCATTCACTGATCGGTGCAACATCACCTGCACAAAATAAAAACGGAAACCTTGCTTCAAGACATGGAAATTAGAATCTTGTGGTGCTAGAGGAATGGTATATTCAGGAATAAAACCCTAGTATCCAAGATTCCCCACTTCTCAAATTCATCAAGGCACAAACTTTTGAGAAAACTTGTGCTGCAAATTCCATAAAGAAAAAAATGGAACCTTTTTCTCTTGAGATTGTTATGCCCAAAGAGGAGAGGCCTCTCATCAGCAGCTTCTGTAGTGAGACCTTCTCTGCTACACCTCAGAGTCTCAAAAACTTCTTTAATATGCACATTTTCCTGGAAACAAACAATTAAAAGTTTCAGACTTTCTTTCTCCAAGAAACATTTAACATTAGAGAAACAGAGAAAGATATAGAAACAGAAATGTAACCATGAGCACTTGATTATAGCTTTAAAACTTACCCGAATTCAGTGCAGCTCCTTTACAGGGCTTGGCTTCAGCAAAAGCTTCCACCGGCCAATTAGTGTGGGAGGCGAAGTTGTACCACCACTGGAGATCAATCAAAAGAAAACTAAGATGAGATTGAAGCAAACAGAAGCAAACTACAATATCATCAAATTTTAAGCCATCAGTTCTTCATTTTAGCTGCTCTTCAATTTCCCTTGCTGCTTCGATATAACCCCTATACAGTTAGTGTGGAGAATTCATCATTAAAATGAGCTCAATCCCTCATCATCAAGCAATTGATCTATCCAATTCATAGAACAAAATTTGTTTAGAACAAAGAACCCAAATTAATTTCTGAAACTGCTATCACTGTTTTGAAACGAGAAGAAACAAAGAGACTCACATATATCATCAATTGAACAAGTTTGATTATAGACTGCTCTTTTCTCTCCATCCCCTAAAATAGACATAACTTTCTGCAGCTGCTGGAATTTCTCTTTAGCTTCCTGTAACAAAGCACAAGAGTAGCGTTTTCATGTCAAACGGACCCCAAACAAAACTATGCAAAGGTACATACGAAGAAAAAAAAAAGCTTTTTAATCTCACCATTTAAGTTAGACTGCCACAATTTGACCATCCCACCGCTTCCAATGCTAGCTAAAGTCATGCCACTCATGTCCCATTCCATCTGCCAAACCTGATCAAGAAACATCAATAGTGTAAAGGAAATCAGAAGTAGCATCGAAGATCAAAAGCTTATTAAAGAGCTTTGGAATTTGATGATACGTCGCCTTGATGACCAGCAGGTACAGAGACTTTCTCTGCGTAAACTCCTCTAGAGAGAAGAGCACACACCTCAGAAAGGAACAAGAGAGAGTTAACTCGTATCGTTTTCTCTTCATGCATTTTTCTGAGATTTTATTTTTAATAAATGTTAAATGTCTATGATTTCGTTATTTTTGAAAATAACATTTCAAATTATAATTTTTTTTTTCAAAATTTTCTTAGTTTAAATTTAATATTTAATGATTTAGTAGACTTTTTGGTAGAACTCTTATGGTTTTAACCTAATTTGTTTTTTACTTAAATTAATTCATTTTAATGAAATTATATTTTATATAGATGCAAGTTGTCTGTATTGTATTTTATGTATAAAAAAATTTCATGAAAATATTTTTATAAGTTTAATTTATTAAAATTAAGATTAAATAATAGAATAGACTTAATCTGTAGACCTCACACATTTTTATAAGTTTGAACTTAAATGTTCTACTATAACTGATTCATTTGTATGAATTTTACTTTTTGGAATGCTAATGTTTATGTTTTAATTATTCATATGGGTTTTGCTGTAAATTTATCTTTTAAACTACTAAAACAAATTATTAGACTTAACAGGTCCTAATGTATTGCTTTTACTTGAGCCATAAGTTTTTTTTTTTTTTTTAATAGACTTCCATTTTATATAAAAAAATATCACGCCCCTTGGGGTTACAGCTCTTTCACAACAGGATACAACTGCATTATCACAAACAGTGATTCAAAAAATGAAGGCATAAACCTACATAAAACGCATATGGCAGGAAGATAGAAAACCAGGACGTTAGAAGCGAAAGCGTAGAAGGAGTGTTAGGCTGAGCACGAGAAAGAGGGTCTAATTTACATCTCATCGGCTGGTTAATATCCGCCCTAATAATTGAAGGCGACCTTGAGATATTATCGTGGAGACGAGTATTTCTCTCTTTCCAGATTAGATAAATTGTTGCTTGGAAAAGGAGTCTGAGAATTCTATTGAGGTTCTTATCATTAGAAGGTTTGGTAATCCACCTTAACAGGTCTTCGAAGATTATCGGAGGTGAGACGTTAGCTGCTGCCACAAGAACACCATATTTCTGCACTGAACGCACAATCAAAGAATAGATGCTGCCGATTCTCGTTTTGCCTTTCCATATTACTTGGAGCCATAAGTTGGCCATAACACCTCACGTTATAATCGATTGTAGAGAGCCCTAATTATTTCCATTCTAAAAAACGTCTCTCTTCTTATTAGTAGTTTCTTTCAATGAAGAGATTACATAGAATTGTCTGTTTACTAGATTGATTTTCGATTGGACATATGACCGAAGAGTTTTGGTTTGATTGGATATTCAAGAAATATGATGAGAATAGGATGGAAATGCCAGGTTTATTTAAAGGGGAGAAACTTGTTAGAATTTTTATTTCCAAACAGAGAAGAGAAAGAATGAAAAAAACAGAGCAAGAGATAAAGAGTTATCTCTTTTCAAACTCTTCTCTTTGAAGAACTTTTAACGAGGAATTGGTTTTATTACACTGAAACTTGATTATTTACATTATAACAACAATGGTTTATATAGATAATGAACAGGCACAATAACACAAGAGTTGTGTCTCTTCATATTTGTGTCTCGTCATCACAACTATCCAAAGTAAACCGTCATAACCGTTACTATGAGAAATAAGTGTTAGAACAAATTCAATAATATTCCTAACACTAAGTTGCTTCCTTGAACTTGTAAACTCTGTCTCTTCAAAAATAATGTCTTCTTCATTATGCTTCACACAACCTCTTGCGTGAGCATCAAGACATTGGAACTTTAGGTTTCTCTTACCCACGAGCCTTCTCCATGTCTCCTTCAAGTCTCTCAAACTCTTCTCACGTTTCCTTGACATCTCATGACGTCTCAACCGTTCCTGTTTCTGCAAATGCTCTGGAGTAGAACCTCTTTATTCTTTCTCCTTTGTAGCCTCGGTGTCACTTCCTTTGGCAACTTCCATCAATCACCATCACGTCTCCTCGACGTCTCTCGCATGGAACCTCTCTCCACGTCTGCTTCGGTTAACTCTTTAACTGTCTTGTGCTCCATTTTTCTCCGTGGTAAGCTTCCTCCTTTCGTCTCTTCCTTTGATCACCATCAAACGTGTAACATCCCGGATCTGAAAATATGGGCCATTTTCAATTTTGTTTTTAAAGCCCACGTGGGCCCATTCTCACTTGGTTTGACCAAACCGTGTGAGCATCTCTCGTGGAGAAACCCTACTTGTGACATCGTGGAGCCGCCGAGAGAGAGAGGGGAGAAAGGAGGAAAGAAGAAGGCGAGTGATCGATCGAGAAGAGAAAAAAAAGTGAGAAAAGAGAAGAAGGAGAAGCGAGAGAAACCGGAGAGAAAGGAAGGAGGAGAAGAGAAGGAGAGAGAGAGAGAGGAAAATCTCGTGTGAGAGAAGGAGAAAGGTCTCGTGGGAGACAAGAGGAGAAGAAGAAGCCATGGAAGAAAGAGAGGAGAGAGAAAGGTGGAGAGGAAGAAGAAGACCGAGAGAGAGACGTACCATGATCCGTGAAGAGGCTGAGACCACAAACGGCGATGCCGTACTCCACCGCCGATCACCACCACTAGCGGAGCACCACCGGAGGGTGCAACCATCATTGTCGGAGCTCCCGATCTCCACCGTCAAGTTCAGCAGCGAGGATCTAAGGCTAGACCAAGCATTTGCTTGCGGCGCAAGTAATCCTCGTTGTTCACTCGTTCCATCATGCTCATGCCGTTACGAGATCACGTCCGTTTCATATTCCGTTCACCTTCCGATCAGCTTTTAGGCCAAGGTGAGGATGAATCTTCACCGTTCCTTAATATGCGTTATTCTATATTATTTAACTCTAAGACTTGTTTTAAATCAAACATAACCTTGTTTGTTGAGTGTGAACCCTAGTATTATTTTAGGAACCCATATTGTGTTATATAATTATTAGTTAATTAATTATATTTATTGTGATTTTAAATGTGATTATTCATGAAAATGATGTGATATTATTTATGGTTGATAAATAATATATTCTTGTTTTAATAAATATTATATTTATTTATTGTTGTGTATTAATATTTATATGAGATTATATAAATATTTGTGGAATTGATTGTGAAGTGATTCTTGATGTTGAGTGTTGAAGAACATATATCGAATATGGATTAATTAATGATCGGACATGGTATTTAAAACGGTTGAGTGTTAAAAGGATCATTGTTGAGTGTGGTGTGTGATGGTTAATGATATATGTAATATATATAAAAGTGTTTATATATAAAGTTATATATGTTGGACGCTTAGTGAGAAGCGTGTTAGTTAGTGGCGGTTTAAAGGTACCGTGCAACACAAGTAAGGTGGAAGGATCGTGGAAAGCGTGTGGATCCTCTTGCTTGGTGTTGGTGTTTGCTGGATGTGGGGTAGATAAAGGTTTCTCTTACCCCAATCCATCGTCGGTGGCTTGACGAGCCAGGCGTCTTGAAAGAGAGGCGGACAGCAATGTGGCGCTTTATACCACGGGGGTGTGTGCAGTGATGCGCGGATACATCCAGGGTGTTGAGTTACTGGAGCAAGATACTACGGGGTGTTGTGCCGGTATTTGGTAGCTTCACACGTGGTTGAGCTTGGCTGGACAAGAAACATCACCGTTACAGACCATATTACGTGTTGGGTGTATAGTCCCTCTAGGAGGTTGTTGCGTTATACAGCGTGTGTGGTGTTACATACTGTATGAGAGGTGACTCATGGTTTGTGTTGTATACACGGCGGACGTGTGGTGATTCACTGGTTGTGTCGTGTTATACACCGTCCTTGTGAAGCTATATCGTATGATGTGTTATACACTGCGTGTGTTGATACACACCTTATGTGTGGTGATTCATATATGTGTCGTGACATATATTGTATGTGTGGTGATGCCACCGTATGAATTATGTTCACACGTATGTGTGGAACCGCATGGTATGAGTTGTGTAATGCAGCATGTGTGCTAGTTTGGCGTTGTATAGATGACGTCTTGTTTGATGCTGTTTTAGCCCAAGCATGGGCGTTTGTTTTATAGCGTTTCATATGTTGGGCCCGGTTTAGATTCATTCTCCTGGGTAATCTAAATTACTCATCCCCCTTCCTTTTCCCTTCCCCTGTTTCCTTTTCTTGCAGGTAGGTACAGAAGTGTTGATTCAAGTATAAGTTGGTGGATTTTGTTAAGAGAACATCTTGGATTTGGGACCATGGTTATGGCATCGCGGTTAAAGCTGGTTAAGCTTATAACGGATGTCTTGATACACTGTCGTTTATCGGGAGTCCGGCTGATGGGTGTCACAAAACGTCTCTTTGACTTATCGTGCGTGACTCTTCTTCACGTCTTCTCTGCTCCATTTTTTCTTACAGAGGTAAGCACTCTCCTATGCTTCATCAACGTCTCATTGACGTTATAAACGTCTCTTCTTCACGTCTCCGGTTAACTCTATAACCGCCTCCATGTGTGGATCTTCTTCTCCACATCTTCTCTGGAGGCTATATGTGTAACCGTTTCCATGCGTGAATCTCATTATCCACCTTTTTGCTTCAATGCGCCTTGCTCTGTTTCTCTCAACAGGCGGCTTCTCCCTCAAGTTTCAGAATTCTCCTTCTATAATTCCAATTCCATATATGCTTTCTCCATTGCCATCTGAGAAGATTTCTTATTTCCTCTATCTCTATTGGAGGCTTCCTCTTGCGGTATGGCATGTGGATAAGGTGAAGGTTCATGGTGCTCTCTCTCTTGTCACCTCTTCTTTTTCTATTCTTCTTCTTCTTCTTCTTTTCTTCGGATCTGTCTCCATCTTCCTCTTCTTCTTGCAGCGGACTTCTTCTTATTCTCTTTGTGCTTAAACAGGTTCCCATGACCATGAAAGCTCTGGTACCATGTTAGAATTTTGATTTCGAAACAGAGAAGAGAAAGAATGAAAACAACAGAGCAAGAGATAAAGAGTTATCTCTTCTTTTTGAAGAAGAACTTTTAACGAGCAATTGGTTTTATTACACTGAAACTTGATTGTGTACATTACAACAACAATGGTTTATATAGATAATGAACATACAAAATAACACAAGAGTTGTGTCTCTTCATACTTGTGTCTCTTCATCACAACTATCCAAAGTAAACCGTCATAACCGTTACTATGAGAAATAAGTGTTAGAACAAACTCAATTATATTCCAACAAAGCTTAGTGAGGTATCAACAATTTTTCTGGGATCTTTGTCAATAATAAAAATGTAATCCTCCTCTCTTTTGTCTTCTTAATGTTCTGAAAATTTCTGAAGAAAACATATTATTGGTAAAAAAAATTGACCATAGATGTATAATTGGGTAGATGTTGTTAAGCTTAAAAGATTTAGTCGTTTTGTTTAGAACCTGTTTTGCAGATTCTAAGGTTTTGTAGTATTTTTATCTCTTGGCACAGGAAAAGGAGGAATTCCAACATATAGGAAAACATAAGTTTCTTTCGATAAATTGGGATGGTTGTAGCAAAACAGAAGCGGACTCCAAAATTGAAAGATAGATGGAGTACTTCGGCATTGTATTGGGAAGTGGCATACAAATATCTCGGATCCTGAGTGGACTTTAGTTCTTAAGTTTTGCACAAATGTTGACCTCAAGGTACACAACTAGCTCTCGAAACAAGAAAATGTGGCACTTCCACGTAATCCATGAGTTTTGGCTAAAAATATCGGCCCCATGAGCGAGACTTTGGCATTGATTGCGTCTTTCAGATTAATCTTGATAATTCAAAGCATAACAAGACCGGTGGAGAAATGTAAGCGGGACAGATTGATGGAGTTAAGGGAAAAGGACACTTGCACATAAGAGCACATACATGGCAGAAACTCATTTGAGTTTCTTTAAACTTTTTTTTCGTTTTTTTTTGAAAAGAAAATGAAAAAAAAAAACATCCAATCGGGATCTGACACGTATAGAAACTGTCAGAGAAACGTTTCTGCAGTCTCTCCGGGAAGAGACGATTCACAGCTAAAGAAATGCCACGTAGATATATATTTAATTTTTCTTTTCTTTTTTGCTAAAGAAACCCAATTGGTTTCTGCGATGTATGTGCTCTAAAGACACGCTATGCCAATAGTTAAGATTCTTAGCTGCACATATGTTTCAAGGGATGTATATAATTACTTTTGCTAGAAATTTTGATTTCCTACTCTGTGACAATCCATCACAGATTTGGTTTCCCCATAAGGTTGATGAATTACTTTACGGTTTGTTTTTTTTTCCTTTATTATTTCTTTCATACGTAGATTTGGTTGACGATCTGAAAACATTTTTTGAAGCGTGTATTAAAGGTTTTTGGCTGTTTGTTTTGTGAGATTAAGCGGATATACCAAGCCCTACAAAGTAATAGAACTTTTTCATTTTAGATTGATTTTCCCAACTGGATATATGAGTTCTATGTAAGAGGTAAAAAAATATATAAGGAGAACAAATAGTAAATTTGTCTACCAACTGCAACAGTTATCTTTCAAACCAAAAAGCCAATCAATTCCAGGGTTCATCTTTTTATTATTAATTGAGAAGTACATTGACAATTTTTGGACCAAAAAACCAATCCCTTTATGAAGAAAAAGTGTTTGGCAACAGGTATGAGGAGGGATAATTTAGTAAAAAATAAAGACAACTCGTCTGAGTTGACTCAATTGGGCGAAAAACCCTACCCAATTGACAATGGATCAACACGTGGACCCCATATCACTTAAAACAAACCACAATCCAATTAAAGACGGTTCAGAATCCAATTAAAAACGGTTCAGTAAAACCGTAAATTGATGAAATCGGTTAAAAGGCTATTACAAATTAAATGAAAAGCCCAACGCAAACAAGCTCATCGTCAAATCAAATCCAATTTTACCTGCCAATAAAATAAAATTTATAATTATCCATTACGTGGTAAAATCTGAAAATAGGAAAAGTTCTAAAAAAGATGAAGTGGAAAAAACAAAATAACAAATTCCCATTATAATCAAATCAAAGAACAGAATATGCTTTTTGGATTTTCGGGTTTTTATAGACAAGTACGGGTTTGGGTGAAAATTTGAGACCTAATTTTATAGAGATATAGAGATATAGAAATTGTTCGGTTTTCTTTGAAAATTTCTGTTCAGGTTGGGTTCGAGTTTTTTTTTTTTGTTCAGTTTAGGGTTTTCCGGATTTTTTTGGATTTCGGGTTTTCGGATCTAGATATATTAAAAACAATTAAGTATTTTAAAATTTTGATTAGGGTATTTGGGTCGGTTTCCGGGTGAAAAGGTTTCCAGATTTTTTTTTGTTCAGTTCAGGGGTTTCGGGATTTTTTTTTATTTCGGATTTTCGGGTTTAGACATATTAAAAAAATTTGGGTTTTTAAATTTTTTGATTAGGGTTTCTTGGTCGGGTTCGGATTTAGGGTTTAAATTTTCTACGCAAATCTCATGTGTGGTTTGATAAACATCCGTTCTTCGTCAATGTTAACATTTCTATCATAATACACAGAAATCTAATTTAAAAAAAAAGATATAATCTGTGCGAGAAACCACCTAGTATGTTATCAAGCAACAGTCCATGACATTAAGCTGATAAACTGAAATTCCCCCGCAAAACACCGTCGTCTCGAATTTTCTATGGTACTCACTCTGTTTTATAAGATTTAGTCAAGCATTGTCGAGGAAAATTCACGGCGTTATCGATATACCATAGCATAGCAGACTCGGAAAATGAATCATTTAGTAGACTTCAACTTCTACGGAGCAGTGACTCAGTGAGGCAGATGATAAATATGTTATCGGGGACTCAACTCATGAATTTCAATATTTCATGAATCCGGTGATCTGGAAAAGGAACTAACCCTAACAGCTTTTGAATTCACCGAGATCTCAATCGATAGAGAATCGCAACAACTACAAGTCTCATCCTAAAGAAAAGAGTCACGCTATACAAATTTTCAGCAACAAAAATTTGATGCGCTCTACAAGCTTGTGTTCCAAGCAACCTAAATTTTAAGCTATTTTGTGTCAATGATCACTTACGTAGCAATTCTTAAAAATAACAAAATTTATATTTCGATTTTGCGGGTGAGTTTTCTTATGCCATAGGGCCTGACTGGTTTAACCGCTGCGGTTGCGGTTGCGGGTGCGGGAGTTTGCAGAAGCGGGCGGTTGTGATTAGTAGCGTTATTAAGCGGTTTGTACGACTGGCATAACAATTGAAAATGGATGCGTTTGCGGGTTACTTATGACTGGTTCACTTGCGGATGCAATAGCGGTTAAACAATAAATTAATAATATAAACACATTATATAATTATAAAAATATCAAAAATATTTTATAATGAAAATTTTAAATTTATGGTTCAACATAATTAAAAATATTTTTTTATAAATAATAATATGTGTATAATACTTACGTCTATCTTTTAATTTCTATAATTTAAATAAAAATGTGATTTTATTTTCAAAATATATATTTAATGTGAAAATTAAATTTATTTTACAATTTTATTTATTAGATATATATGTATTAGTATGAAAAGAATATTTATGAAGAGAATTTTGATTTGTAGAACTTATAAATATATAAGTATTATATGATTTTAATGAATATTGACACGCAATTTTTTTTTAAATTTATATTAATCACAAAAATATCAAAAAAAACGGATCATTTTGGTAAATAAAATAGTATTAGAAATCAATAATAAATATCTAAATTAAATAAAATTGGTAATCCTTTTACATTTTAATTATAACTCACATTTTGTTTCTGAATTCATAATATAAAAAATGATTTTTTTTATCTAATATTAGAAAGAATTACATGTGTCTAAATTTGATCAATTAATTAATTCGTAAATTTTTGATTATTCGATTTAAAACTTGAAAATTATCTTATTAAAAATTATAAAATGGGTCTATTATAAATTTTTCTTTTTAATATTAGTTAGTTGCTTGATAATTATTCTGTCTGTTTTCTATTTATATTGTTTCTTTTTCAATCTTTTTTTAGCCTCTCTCCATTATTAATTTCCCTTTCCAATATCAATTAGGTTTTTTACAATGTTACTTTTCTTTTTCTGTTAATACATTTTTCCAATGTTCTTGTGTTAACACAACTCATCACCTGATCAATTATTAGACACATGTTGCGACAATAAATTCAATTTTGATCCAACTGATCTAAAATTAAATATTCTTCATTGATATCTAACTTTCATATTTATATAATAAGATATAAATATAAAATGTTACTAACTTTTTCATCAAGTAATAGAAGTCAACTCCCATAAGAATATTGTTTTCTTTAGGATTTCTAGCTTCCCACTTTCGAATAACACGTACTATAGTACGGCGATAATTTCGATTTCGATCCAATTGACCTAGAGTCAAATAATCTCCACTGTTCTTTTGAACTTTCAAAGACATAATTTTAAAATTAGAGAAAGAGAATCAAAGAGATTTGCTGAATTTGCTTTGATGAGTTTGTGAATGAGAAAAAGAGATTACAGTAGCTCTCTTTTTATAGGGGGTTCATGTAACCTATTCCATACAGTTTTAGGATATTTAGTTTACATACATATTCTATGTACTAATAGAATTTTTTTAAACATGGGTTTATGTAACCTATTCCATACCGTTTTAGGATATTTAGTTTATATACATATTCGATGTATTAATAGAAATTTTTTATAGCATTATTTTCAATTTATTTATAAATTTTCGTTTTTATTATAAAATATTAAAATTTTCCCTTTAAAAAAAGTTTTCTTTTTTCCTAAGACACGTGTCACGATCTTAACGGACCTAACCTTAAAAGTGACACATGTCATGATCTATATTTTATAAAAATCCTATGTGTCGCAACCACGTCGCGCGCATCCAGCTTTATATAATAAGATTATATGATTTTAATGAATATTGACTAAAAGTACTAATTTTTTATTTATATTGTGATTTTATTATCCAAATCTTATTTTTTAATAAATATTATTATTTATTTTCGGATTTTATATAAGTTTGTGTTTTTTTTTTTTAATTATCCACCCGCAACCGCCCGCAACCGCAAACGCTTGCGGAAAGGAGCTTTTGATTTTCAGTGATACAGAGCGGTACAGAGTGGTATAGAGCGATTCAAAGCGGTTGTCGTGATTGTTATAAACCGCCGAAAACTGCTACGAACCGCAGTTTGCGGATGGTAGCGGAAGAACCAATCAGCCCCATGTATATTATAAGTTTATTTATATGACACGTCCGGTACACAAAGGACAAACTCATGTATATGATAAGTTTATATGACAACAACACAAGAAAACAAAAGGAGTTATCCATTATACGAGTAGGGCTTGGGCATGATAAGATGAGCACCAAACTGTGGGTGAAGGGTGAAGACTAGGTCAGGCACATGAACATAGAAAGGAAACAACTCGAAGGAGAATCTCTGTTGAATCAATCCCACGCAAACGGAAAGAAGGAGACTTGGCTCTTTGTGCCTTTGGGACACCGTCTTTGAATCTCTCATGAATTCTGCTGCAGCGTTGGCCCATAGCTCTGTGTCGCGTTGGACTAGCATAATAGGTACATTGATCTCAACACCGCCTGGTAGTGTTAGGTCGCCTAGCTTAATTTCTTTGTGAATGGCTCGGTCAGCTGGGTTATTGGAGGATATAACCTAAGGACCTCATAGAATATCATCGTCATCTGCGAGGGATCAAATCATTAAAACAAAACAGAGTACTTAAGTCACCTGGATGTTTATAATTTGCTTTATACTTACAACTTTGAGGTGGTTTAGGCCTCCTGTAATGATCCCTCTCAGTATAACTTGGAGTTAACTATGCCAAAAAAATGATAAGTGTCAATCTCTACATGTGGGGAATAATCTCTAACAAATTGCAGCACCAAAAGATCAAAAGCCAATCTCTAAACGTCTTGTATTAAACAAGAAAAATTGAAAGATTTCAGAAAAGCTTATGTCATAAGCTGTATTAGTTCTGTTTGGAGCTCAAATATCTTTTGCCCTTCATTGTGGCTGCTGCCAAAAGCAGTACGAGAGATCACATCTGCCGTCATATTCACCAGCCAAGGCCAAACGTCCACCTCACAGGAGGACCCTTTTTCCGACACTAACTTGTCCCATTTGCCAACAACCTCGCTACAGCTTTGGTGGAACGCAGGTACCATATTCTATACATAGAATAGAAGCAAAAGGAACAAAATGGGTCAGATCCAAATAAACATACATACGTACATAAAGCAACGTAACTTGTTTCCCGGGTTACAAATAAGAAGCCTAAACCTTGATCGCTCAAGGTGAAAAGTCGGGTTGATGATTCTTCGGTGTTTTGCCCATTTATCACCGGCATAACTAAAGAGTCCAGTGTCTTTTCCTTTACAACTGCTTAATTTTTCTAGCAGTGGCTCTATCTTCGACTGCAATTGCTGCCCAATCCTCTTAACCAGATCATGATCCCTGCAAAACTCAAATCTATCAGCTCAGAGAAAGAAAAATGGACAAAATTCATAATGAATCGGCGAACATGCCGAATCAAAAAAACGATTTTTTAACAAACAAAATTGTAACTGAATCACTTTTTTATTCCATCAATATGTGGAATTCCATGATATAATCATCATACGTTTTTAAGGTTAACCAATATCTACCTCATAACTCATAATAGATCAAGGTCCCCTCGAGTGGTCTCTCTTTATATATAGTGAATAGATAGGTAGGTACTCGTTGAGTTTTAGGTTTAGCAGAAAATATCTTTGAGAGTCAATGCATATTTTTATTTGCAAATTAAGAAAAAAGATAATTACTTTAAATTAAATAAAAAAGTATCATTAATGTATTCTCTTTTTTTTTCTTAAACGAATATTCCATTCAGAAAATGCTTGGTTAAAATTTCAATCTTTAATTATTTGGTTAGGAAGATTTTAAAGCAATGCGCAAAATATTAGGAATAGTGATTTAAGTTGTTATTAATTTGGGTAATAAATAATTGTAATAAATCCGAGGCATTATTTGAAAATCTCTGCAAAAATAGATTTTTCATCTTAACAGAATGATATTTATTAAAAAAATTATAAAGAAAAGATATTACATTTTTAAGTCATTTGAATTGGATATTCATTTCTTGTTTAGATTATTACTTTTCACGATTCATTTTTCTAATTTGTATTCAATATCAACAATTTTTTAGTGATAAGATTTGAATTTTTATTTATATTCAAACAATTTTTTTATTCTATTTATAATATTTTCTTGTTTTAAATGAAAATGATTAATATGGATACCAATTCAAATTGTAAAATCATAATATTATTTTCATAAGAAAATATAAAATTGTTATACTGATTTTTCACATTACGAAATTAATTTTATCATATTTTGTAGTGATTTAAAACTAATTTTCGTTTTATATGCACACACAAATCTTTTTCTCTTCACATTAGCCTTCACTACTAGTCACATTTAGCCCTGCACGAGGTGATGATTTCTGAATTTGTATTATTTTAATCAGAAAATGTAAATATAACTATTTTGAAATTTAATACGACATACTCCTTCCGTTTCAAATTAGTTGTCGTTTTGACAAAATATATCTGCAATTATTTGGATGTCTATGGATGTGTTTTAAATTTAATACATCCAAATAATTGTAGATACATTTTGTCAAAACGACAACTAATCTGAAACAAAAGGAGTATTTTTTTTTACCTTGATTATGTTCTTGTCTTGGTTTATAGTGTGGAAATTAAGCATTTAAAATCATTTAAAAAAAATTAAACAAATTAAAGCATTGATCATAGCCTTTGATTAAATATAATATACTTAAGCGAGATATGTAAAAAAATTCAAAGAACAAAAAATGAAAATAAAATATTATTCTTTAAAAAAATATATATATCATGTATTTCATAAGATAAGCAGCTATAGATGTATGCACACGTATTATAACTAACTTTTTTTCTCTCTCATTCAAAATTAAAAAATATATATATATATATATTATAATTTCAAAACAGTTAGACCAATAAGAAAACAATATGCAGAATCCAAATTGTCAAAACAACAAAAATATAATTAGTTTTATATTAAAAGTGAAACAGAGAGAAATATTCAAATTTTTGATCAAAATAAAATATTTATAAGAAGAAATGTTTTATTTGATTTAATTATACAGTTTAATTAAAAATCTATATTAAATCGAAGAAAAACCATTTTACATATGGATAACTACTGTCCTATGTGATATGGTTGCATATCATCTATTTTTTATAATATATTTTTACACTTTCACACAACAACATATCATATATGGGAATTTTAAAAAATTTAGTGAATATTTTGTTTTAAAAAATTCAAATCATAGTATATATAGAAAACATAGATTTTCTTTATTAAATTTCTTAGTGATTCAATTATTTTATAAAATAAAGGTAAACAAAGATGAAAGGAGATATCTAATGATTTAAAAAAAAAATTATTATAGAATTAAATTGAATCTTATATTTTCCTTATTTTACTAACTTTGTAAATGTCAATTAAGGAAAGGGAATGATAATTTTTTTTATTAATAACTACATACATTATCAGTTTAATAATACAGATTTGATTCTTTAACCAAAAATATGAATGACAATATTTGTAACTATTAATATCTTGATATAAATATTTCATATATTAAATAAATGTACATTTTCAAAAAATGCCGAAATTTATATCTGTTTTTAAAAAATCAAATTAGAGTTTGTGTAAAAGAAAATGTACATTTTTATATATATGGATTATGTGGTAATTTATTTATTTTTATAAAATTTATTCCAGTAAAAAAATGAGAGAAAAATATAGTATTTAAGAAAACAATTAATTTGATTTATTTGATAAGACATGGAAAAAATAAAATTATGTTTATGATTAAATGCTGAAATTTGTATAAATTATTGATATAAATTATTCTCTAACCAAATCAATACAATGGCATATTATGTACATACTTTAGTAAAGAGAGCTTTATTTCGAGAATGCAGTAAAGAGGTGAAATAATTGTATATAACATAGAAATAAATAGTAGTGAATATTTCATGTGACATAACTGTAAATCCCTAATATATTAAAAGAGAAAACACTAACTAAATAACCTTTGTCTAATGTGTTATTAACAAGAATGTCATTGCTTAGGTGTCATCACTAGGTTCACTCTTAGAGCAATTTCTAATTAAGACAAGCTTTACTAGACAAATTACAATATATGCCATTGCATATTATGCTTACAACCAAATAATGAAATTAAATTTATCATTCTCTTTCCTTAATTGGCAACTACGAAAATTAGTAAATAAGGAAGATATGAGATTCAATTTAATTCCATCATAATAATTTCTTTTAAAATCAGTATACATCTTCTATCATCTTTGTTTAAATTTATTTAATAAAATAATTTGAATCACAATATAAAAAATCTATCAAAAAAAATCTAAAACTTTTTCTGTACATGTTATGATTTGAATTTTTAAAAACAAAATAATATAAATTGTTTCGTATATAACCTCATTTAGTAGGTATCCAAAGGTAATTTTTTTTTTCATTTAATATGGTTTTTTAATTAAAATCTATAATTAAATCGAATAAAAATTCTTTTTATAAATATTTTATTTTGATTAAACTTTTGAATATTACTCTATCTGTTTCAACTTTCTATACAAAATTAATTATATTTTTGCTGTTTTGACAATTTGGATTCTGCATATTATTTTCTGATTGGTTGGATTGTTTTGAAATTATAATAAAGCATGTTTTAGTTTTGAAAGAAAGAAAAAAATTAGTTCTAATCCGAAAAATATTATTTTTTACTCATTTTCTTTTTAAACTTTTTTTTTGGATTTCTTGAATATTTTGGTTATTCTGTTCTAAATATAAAAACTTTCACTTATTATTTAGTTCTGATTCAGGTCTTATTTGTGTCGGTTTTTATCGGGGGTTTTTTAACCAAATAACCGATCATAGTCCGAAAACCTACAAAATAACCAAAAAATTATCTTTACTCCAACTACTACTAATTTGTTTTGGATTTCTCAAATATTTTGGTTATTTTATTCTAAATATAACTCCTCCCTCTATTTCATAATAAGTGTCATTTTAGTCTTAAGTTTTTGTTTAATTATAAGTGTTGTTTTAGATTTCTAATGCATAATAGAATGAATTTCCAATTTTATCCTTATTTATTTAGTGTAATAACAAGAGATTGAAATGATTTATTGTATTAGTTATAGGCATTTCGGAAATTTTAATATGTTTTTCTAATTTTTGTGCAATAACTTTAAACGCACTTATATTGAAACGGAGTTAGTATTATATTAGATTTATAATTGTAGTTGTAGTTATTTTTGATTACTAGGCGATGCCCACACATACACTTTTTTCCTAACATATATTTTTATACTAACTAGAAGGTGACCCGCGCTTCGCGCGGGAATTTATATTATTGTGTTAATTTTAATGTTTTTTCGCAAATTTAGTTTATTTCTATTGTTTATTATTTTTTTAAAAAATATTACACATATTAATTAAAAATAATAAGAATTAGGCAAAATTAACGTACAGTCTTGTCCCATTGTATCCCATTTCGTTCATTTTCATCATGTCCGTTCTTTCTCGTCTTGTCCCGTCCCGTCCTATCCCATTATGTTCCTTTCTATTTTGTTATGTCCCATCATGTTCCTTCTGTTTCTTCTCGTCCGGTTCCCTAAATATAACTAAGGATATACAAAATTCCCGTATAGTCCCATCTCGTCCCATTTCATTCCTTCTCATCTTATTCCGTTCTTTCCCCGTCAAATTCCATCATGTCCGCCCTATCGAGTCCCATCCTATCTTGTTATATTTTTTTTTCGTTTTGTCTTATCTCTGTCCGGTCCCTAAACATAACTATGGGTAGGTGAAATTTCTATCCCGTCCCTTCTCGTCCCATTATGTCCCTTTCATCCCGTCTCATCCAATCCCATCTCATTCTGTTTTTTCATCTCGTCATGTCTAATTTGTATGTCTCGTCTCGTCCAGTCTTATCCCATTTCTCTCGTTATGTTTTTTCCGTCTCATCCTGTCCGGTCTCGTCTCATTTCATCCCAAAACACTTAAAGAAATCAGTGTTCTTTATATAATATCTTGACATCAACGTAAA